ATATCACAAGTTCACAAACTACATCGGGTTAAAGATATCTCAAGTTCACAAACTACATCGGGTTAAAGATATCACAAGTTCACAAACTACACCGGGTTAAAGATATCACAAGTTCGCAAACTACATCGGGTTAAAGATATCTCAAGTTCACAACCTACATCGGGTTAAACTTAAACATATCAGAGAGAGGAATCAAATACATCGGGTTAAAGATATCACAAGTTCACAAACTACACCGGGTTAAAGATATCACAAGTTCACAAACTACATCGGGTTTAACTTAAACATATCACAAGTTCACAAACTACATCGGGTTAAAGATATCACAAGTTCACAAACTACATCGGGTTAAAGATATCACGAGTCCACAAACTACACCGGGTTAAAGATATCATAATTTCACAAACTACACCGGGTTAAAGATATCACAAGTTCACAAACTACACCGGGTTAAAGATATCACAAGTTCACAAACTACACCGGGTTAAACTGAAACATATCACAAAGTATATTTGTAAAAAATTACTTGGAGTATATCACAAACTATACATTAATAAATAAATATACATAAATACATAAATAAATCAACATCATTGGAGTACTATTGGTCTCCCTATAAAATCTAGGTCCTCTAGGGGCCTTTAATGATAATCTGTTTTTTTTTAATGGTATCGTACGTTGTGAATCGAATACGCCACTCTAACTGGAAATGTAATCGAAAATTAAATTTACAGTCGGGGTTAAGTTTATTATAGTACTTTATTAAATTATTTTTCACTTATATTATGAAATTTTTAAAATGTTATATTATCTTTATCAGATCTAGATAAATTAGAACTCTAAGTGCTTGAACTAGACCTGAACTGGCTGATTTAGACCCAATCCTGTCAGAATTAGACTTAAAACTGTCTAAATTAGACCTAGAACTGCGTGAACTAGACCTAAACCTGCCTGAATTAGACCTAGAATGCTCTGAATTAGGTCTAGAATTGCGTAAATTAGAACTAGAAATAGCTTAAACTGGACCTAAACCTGCCTGAATAAGACCTAGAACTGCTTAAACTAAACCTAAAACTGCCTTAATTAGGCCTAAAACAGCTTGAATAAGGCCTAAACCTGTCTGAATTAGGCCTAAAATTGTCTAAATTAGACATAGAACTGCCTTAATTAGACCTAGACCTATCTGAATTAGGCCTAGAACTGCCTGAATTAGACCTAAAACTGTCTAAATTAAACCTGGAACTGTTTGAACTAGAGCTAAACGTGCCTGATTTGGGCCTAAATCTGCCTGAATTAGCCTAGAAACGCTTGAATAAGACCCAGAACTGCCTGAATTAGGCCTAGAACCTTTAGAATAAGGCCTAGAACTGCCTGAATTATGCCTAGACCTGCTTAAAGCCAATGCTAGACTGAATGACAGGGTTGAATGGAAACCAAGGTAAACACTGCTGTGTTATTAGAATATTAGCTCATTACTCAATTCATAGTTTTACAAACTCAATATAGAAATTCAGAACTGATCAATTGCCACCAACTTTTAAAATTCTTTAATCCCTAGATCGTTGCAACCTGATTTAAAAATGTCATCTGACAAAACTGTTCAGATTTAGATTATTGTTAATACTGAGAATAAAGTAAAATAATTTCAACCATAATATTTTGTTCTCTGCATTTTTGGCTGAACCCTGAGATTGAAGTGTCCAGCTACATTCTAGTATCTTGTCCAACTACAGTATAGTATCTTCAGCCAGATTCTATATATATATATTCTGATATGACAAAGGATAAAATATTATTCATACAATTTAAAGGAATTCAAGGTTTTCCAACGGATAGAATTGTTTCAATGTTTCTAGGGTTAAGTAGAAATATTTGTACATAACTACACGCCTCTATACATTGTCTAGTAGACAACATAATTTAAAAGTATGTACGCTCAATACTCAATACCATGGATTCAAACTGTGGGAGTTTCTGTATTTTTGATTAAATTTACTTAATGATGGAAGTATGTACATTTACTTATAACATTGTTTTCTTTTCTTACTATTTTTACCATTTCATACCGTTGGTTTTAATTTTGACGTATCTTTTAAATGTGAGGCCGAAACAAAAAAAATTGGTTGAATCGTTTTGGCTGTCGTTTGTCAGATCTATTTCTTTCTCCCTGGTTCTAATCCTCTTCTTAGCTCTATTTCTCCCTGGTTCTAATTCTCTCCTTAGCTCTATTTCTCNTCCTTACCTCTATTTCTCCCTGGTTCTAATCCTCTCCTTAGCTCTATTTCTCCCTGGTTCTAATCCTCTCCTTACCTCTATTTCTCCCTGGTTCCTACCATTGCCTGTTAACTGTAGAGGATTCAAATTGTTAAATGATTTACCCTGGTAAATATTTAAGCGTGTGAAGGCGTGAAACTGAACACCTTTATATAGAAATCTTAAATTATTATGCTAAAGCATAAATACTCCCTTTCCAGACAAGCTGCACCTTAATCAGGGGCAACAGTTTCAAAGAGGAGGGAAAAATTGAAATTTTTAATTATATTGATCATTTATTCGCCAAAACTATGAAACCACCTGGTTACGTTTTCCATTTCTCCCTGACAGTAAAATTTAATTTATTTTAATAAAGACTATTCAAATTGAGAAGGATATGGTGAACAAATGGAAGAAAAGGGGAGGGGGGATACGTTGGTGCGAAAATCTTATTTAGTTCATGATATACTTTTGTTGTTGCTTAAAAATGCAGTTCTGCACTTTCCGCATAGGGTATACCCAGACAGCATTGCAATAAATGAAAATATTTAAAACATGAAAATAATAAAACCATGAAAATAATAAAACCCAACGGAATTGAAACTAATAAAAGGTAAAATATGTAAACCCAGCTAATGGTCCGAGCTAAGCCATGAGTATTTGAATATTTACAAGTTTAAATATTCAGATTGTTTAAACGATAACTTCAAGGGGTTCCAGGGGTGTATACAGGGGGTGGGGCTACAGAGCTAACCCCCCCTTGGTGAAGTGAAAAC